TACGTGTGTTGGCGGTGAACAAGCGTAACACGGTGGTCCGTGGGTTTGAGTGCTGGCGCTTTTTGTGTTCGTTCGGCCCTTCTCGTTACGTTTCTGTATAAGTTCACTGCCACCCTTACATCCCATCAGCAACCCGTGTCACCCGAAGCGGCGCCCGAGTTGAGCAAATCTGTGTGAGCGCGTTATCTCACCTCGTGACTAGATATAGTATCAAGCGCGAGAAAGTTTACCCAGTAAATAGCGCGAGACACCGTGATCTGTCCCTATGTGTACAACGTAATTTGCGCTGCAGTCTGCTCAAACGCGTAATGTTGATATTTATGTTGTCCGGTGCCAAGTGAGTGACCGAATTTCGGCTCTATCGTGTGCTCCGTGACATCTCGGTGACCGCCCGGCTTGCTCTCGCAGCCTCCAGTTTTCGTCTTAGCGGCGCAGCCATTTTATCACAATATTTTCGGCGATCGGCTTGCCCTCTGTTGTTGAAACACGCGCTCATGGTGTGTTGTTGTGCTTTTCTTGTGGATGGTGTTTCTTGTTCTGCTATAACCGACGCTGGCGGACGCTGTCGGGCGGCTTCCCACCGCCTGTGTGCCTGTCGTTGTAGCGCTGTTGCGGATTTGCTGCATGGGGGACTCGACAGCGGACGGACAAAGGGGGCGCGACGTAAAGTAGCATCATATTAGGCCAGATAGCCTCTTAGAACTAGCTAGTCATCCTCCGCTCCTGCCACAGCAAAACCACAGGCGAAAACCATCAGGCTGCTTAGGCAGGCCAAGGGCTATAGTTCTAGAGCTATGGGCAGATGCCCTGGAGCGCTCTCACACCGCCCAAATACACATCACACACACACGCCGGGATCACACACACGCGACTCAGCGTACATAGGTTGTAGACAACATCTCGCAACACACCCGCACTTGTGGTTACGCGCGACACGATATGCCACACGCATACGCACGCCACGCGCACGTACCGCACCCGCACGCGCACGCGCACGCACCTCGCACACACAGGCACACACACACGGCACACACACACCACACAACCGACACACACACCACACACACACACAGACGAACGACGACTGCGACTGTTGAGGCGGTTCATATACGTGTGCATTGCCGCATCAATTCGCCTCGGCAAATATTTATCCCTGGAATATCAGCGAGCCGTCGCGACACGCTGTTTCGCCGCTGCAATGCGCAGCGCGCGGGCGCTGGTGCGTGGTCGAGCTGCTGCGTTGCCCTCCTCACCCCCCCCCCCTCTAGCCTCCAGGCGTCAAAGGCGGTGGCAAGTCAAATATCTGACGCCGACTACAGATCGTTTGCACCGCCAGACGATCTGCCGCACACGCCAGCCAAACGCGCGGCGGCGAGGAGTAACAAGCGGGTAGCGGAATCAGTACGCAGCGGCGCAGCGGCGGCCGACGAGTAGCAGCAGGATGCATGCGGACGACGACAGTGTGCAGCGGCGTGGCGCGCGACAACCACCACCAGCAGCAGCAGCAGCAGCAGCAGCGTCAGTAGAGTCGCCAGCACCGCCGCCCCCGACGACAAACACGTCCGGTCGATATCAGTTCTGTGCTCTGTTGATCGCAAAGAACTTTATCCAATTTCATCCTCAAATGATGACAGGATTATAGCTTCTAGCCCAATCATTGTTGCGGTCGAACGGGTCGCCATGTTGATATTTCGGCGCCTGCCGGCATGGGAAAACTTCACGGCGTGTCAACTTAACTAGCAGTTGCACGTCAGTAGAAATACAATATCTCGAAAGGGCCGTGAATAAATCCGCCCTCGGCGGGTCAAGCAGCAAACGTGGGCACTTTTTGCGCGGTTGTCATGCTACGACGTCTTCGAATAAGCGTCGCCATAATATTATGCCCGGTCGGCCGGCTCGGAACGCGCCAGACGAACCGCGACGCCGCTGAGCAAATATGAAAAAACGGATTTCAAAAACATGTCGCAGTCTCGATGATTCAGAATCAGCAAGCCTGGGCCAAACGTTCCGCCTGCCCTATGAGAGAGCAACAATAACGAGAGAAATTTACAAGTCAGTAGAATGGGGTGTGGCCTATTCACATCCCGCATGCTATTGGTTACAGGCGGGTAGAATGGGGCGTGGCCTACTCACATCTAGAGCTCCCTGTATCGTCGTGCGTTGCTCGCTTAGCGTGAGCTTGGTCGTCGGCTTCGTTAGTCTCCACGTAACCGCGTTCATCGGCCACTTCGTTCCTATTGGAACAGCGCGAAGACTTATTACGCGACGTCGGCGCAGACAGGGGGCGCCACGGTGAGACTGACCACCGGTCGACGCAGACACTCGTGGACACGCTAGGGGGCGCGCATACGTCTGCTCGTGCGACATGTTACAACATCTCATAAAAAAATCAACATAGAAAAACTGCTGCGCGGGGATGGCAGTGATTGACCGATCTGCAGCCCTATCACGACACGAGGTCGCGATCACGTGCTGATGACTGACGGCTGACCACGCCCCCTTAGGGGTGTCATTCGCCCGCCAGGTGCGTAGCAATCGCGCGGTACATGACTACGTGGTTTATTCACACGAGTATGAGGTTTAGCTGGGGGAGTGCTGTCTAGTGTATCTAGCATCTAGATCTGTGGGGGACGTGCTCTGTACATTAGTGAGCACGCATACTCACGCGGAAACAGGAGCTGTAGATTTAACGCTGGTATCTTGAAGCTGACGACGAAACCGTCAGTGTAAACAACCTAATAGTTTTTATCGATTTTTCGACGTGTCAGTAACGACCTATCGGTAGAGTAACCGACTAGAAAAGTTTTATCGGATTTTGAACGCGTGGTAACGACTAACGTCTCAAACTAACGGATAAAAATATGTTATCGGTTTCAAGGTGATGAAAATAATTCAATATTGTAGCGAACGGCAGGACACTATCGGGTTTTTGAAGTGAAGACAACGACTAGGTTTAAACGTAAAGGACTAAACATTTTATCGGTTTTTGAGCGAGGGATATAGCGAGAACTCGTCGGCGTAAGCGAACAGATATTTTGCCGGTTTTTGAACAAGTAGATAGCTGGGAAACGTTAATGGAAACGACAGGCTGAATAATCGGTTCTGTGCGCAGATAGCGAGAGAGAGAGAGAGCGTGCGCGCGAGAGAGAAAGGAATAGAGAGAGAGCGCGAGAGAGAGCGAGAGGAATAGAGAGAGAGAGAGAGAGAGAGAGAGAGAGAGAGAAGAAGAAGAGAGAGAGA